AAAAATTATCTTTTCAGATCATACATCTTCTCCTTAAAAATCTCCAGATAGTCTTGTGTTGTTTCTGAGATTAGATCTTGGCTTAATTTATTAGCAGACCTTGTGGAAGAAACTTTAAAGAATCCAGATTCAAGTTCAGCAGTAGCTTGGTCAGGTAGCTCTCCATGCTTTTGTTTGAAGACTTGTGGGTTTAAAGGAGGAACCAGGAAGTTTCTTCTCTGGGAAGAAAACTCTGGAACACCAAACTGTGATGACTATTTCTGACACAAGGAGATTCTAGGACAGGTCTTGTACTAACAGTGCTCAGTAATGATCTGTTTTGTTGTTGCTCCACCAGAAGTTTGATATTGGCCTCTTCTAGCTTCTCATTAGCCTTGTTTAGTTTACTGGACAATGACTGTCTTCTATTGAATTCTTCTAGATAGAGTTGCCTATAGTTTTCCAATTGTATTTTATTGCACTCTTCTTGAGTTTTCATTTTAGAGACCTCTGATTCCAGGTCTGTAATTCTGAGTTCCATCTGACTTCTCATTGAAGCATTATTAGTCTCTGTTAATTGTTGTAAATATTCTTGAGATGCTGCTTGTCTCTGTAAAAATAGATTGACTTCTTTTAATTTTTCTACTAATTCCTGCCTGGCTCTTTCTTCAAACTCCTGCTTATATTGTTCTACTTGGCCATGTTCTACCACATTGTTCTCTATGTGTCTTCTCTAGTGTTACACACTTCTTTTGTATATTTTACATAGATAATAACTCCTGCTGGAGAAAATCATTGTTTCTATCCAGATGTAGACATCTGGATGATGTAGTATTCAGTTTTGCTGCAAGATCATCAACCTTGTGTATTATTAGTGTGTTAATTGGAATATCCAATTCATTGGATTTTAAATCTCCATGAAAACGGAAGTCTCCATTTTCCTGCTCATTTAACTTTATTTTTGTCATTTTATAAAGTTTCTTAAATCCAGTTAGCTCTTTTTGTAATTCACTATTTTTCCTCTTTTCTTCATCCAAAGTGTATTTCTGATATTCTGTTAACACAGTAAGTTTCTTTAATTGTTCTTTATCACCTTCAGAAGTTTGTAGAGGTTTCAATTCATAGTTGGCTGGCTCCAAGTCAGGGTGGCTTGGCAGAGGGACATCTCAGAGGAGAAGACAAGCAGCAGCAGTAGCAATAAGCAACCGATTGTCTTATCTTTAAATGACACTTTTACTTATTTTCCAATATGCACACCTTTGATTTCTTTTTCTTTCCCTGTTATAGCATTTAGAATATACAGTATGTTGTTGAATAGAGTTGCACACATTCTTGCCTTGTTTCTGATTTTAAAGGAAAATATTCAGTTTTCATCATTGTATATAATATTACTGGATAATAATAGGGAAAATTTCTCCTAATATTCTTTTCTTTTCTTTTTTATTTTTTTGAGACAGGGTCTCACTATGTAATTTAGGCTGGCCTCGAACTTACTATGTAGTCTAGGTTGGTTTTGAACTCTTGGTGATCCTCCTGCCTCAGCCTCCCGACTGCTGGACTTACAAGTGTGTGCCATCACGCCTAGCTTCCTAATTTTATAATACAAGGGTGGCGTGAACCTATGGTATGTGTGCTGTAGTGGGCACACAGCCCTCTCTGTCAGCACAAGCCAAATCGCCCCAGCCAAAATTTGACAAATTATCAATATGCATACAATGGCAAAATCACATTAATTGTGCAAAAGCATACCATATGCGAACTTTTACTTTTAACAAAAAGCTGTTTGTATCACTAAAAGCACTGTTTTTCTTTTAAGACAAAAGATGGTAATGTATGAATTGGTTTTTCTAAACTAAAACTTTAGTATTCAGATTTAATTGTAGTGTTGGCACTTTGCAATAAGTAAGTAGATTTTGGGTTGCAGTTTTGGCACTCGGTCTCTAAAAGGCTTGCCATCACTGTTATAAGTGTCTTTTTTAAAATTTAACTTTTATAGTGTCTTAATGTTGGCCAATTAAGGACTGGATAAATTCGCATGTGTCAGTGGATATCACCTCTTCATACTTATACTGTGTTTAACTGAAGGATTAACACTTTTTTTTTTCTTGTAGAATGGGACAATTCTATGGTACCCTGTAAGTTTCTACTTTTGAGTCTTTCAGTTTTTGAATCAGTAACTTGGCATTTTATAGTCTGCCTGTTAGTGTTTAAATCTAGAGTATACATGTTGTGACTAAAAACATTGGTCTTTATATTTGTTGATGCTGTCTTTCATTATAATTTCCCCTTCTGTGGGGAGCCTCTAAAAGTAAAATATATGTGATTGTATGTTTCAATAGATGTAGTTTATTTTTTAGTCTAAACCTGTTGTTTTATCTCCCATAAGATCTACAGGCCATGCCTTTCTTTTGAACAGTGTGAAGTTTACATAACTTGATTGGTAAGTTTATGTCTGATAGTTTAAATATCTGCCTTATCCCATGTAGGTGAACATCATAAGGGCTTAGATCTTTCTTTGTCACTGAATTGTTAGCATCCAGGCAATATTAAGGTTTTTTAATGAAAAAGAATGGTTAATTTGGTCTTTTACGATACTTGTCTGACGAGTGATTACCACACATTTGCTTTACTGTAGGGTGAATTAATTTTCATTCTCTAAATCCTCAAATCAGCCAGATGGGTGGTACATGCCTGTAATTCTAGCATTTGGGAGGCCCAGACAGGAGGATGGCTGTGAATTTGAGACACTGTCTTAAAACAAAGCAAAAATCCTCAAATCAATGCAGAGTAAGATTTATTATCAATTTGGCTTAAATAAGATTTTTTTCCAGCTTTTTTTTTAGTAATTAGGGTAAATATTACCAAATTTAATTCTCTTACATATGAGCATCAGACACCATTTTCTTTCTTTTCTTTTTTCTTTTTTTTAGTAGTGTAGGTGATTGAATTCAGGAATTTGTGCATGATAGGCAAGCTCTGCACCACTGAGCTACACCCAGCCCTATATATCTGCATTTAAAAAATTTGAAACACTTCTCTCCTTTACAGTTTGGTATAATCAAAGTAAGTCTGTGCTGTTTCTACCAATTAAACTATTTTCATGTCATTTCTCAGAGATTTAGGCCTAGACAGTAATGACTGATTTGGGTAACTATTGTATAGGATGTACAAGCCTTTGTACAGCTGTTTGAAAGGGATGGTTGTGAGTATCACATAGGAAATTGATATCTTTTTAGTAAAGTAGAATTTCTTTTTTTATTCATTTTGTTTATTGGTACATTTTAGATATACATTATAATCACATTCATCATAGGGAATTTTTACCTGTACGTGATATATTTTGGTTCTTATTTTTTTCCATTCCCCTTCCCTTTCTTCAACCACTCCGTTCCTCTCTATTTACAGAAGCTTTGTTTCCATTTTTTCCTTCTTTTCTCATCCCCCCTCCCACCCCCAGCCCTGTTCTCCTTCCCCTTATATATTTTGGTCCTCATTTACACTTTCAGTGTCTCACACCAGAGAAACTATTCAGTATTTACACATGTGTGTTCTAGTTATTTCACTTAAGCATATGGTCTCAAGGTGCACCAATTTAGCTATAAATGACTCTAGTTTATCTTTCTTTATGGCTGAATAGTACTTCATTTTATTAAAAAAAAAAACAAAAACCCATATCTTCTTTATCCAATCACCAGTTGATGGCATTTGGGCTGTTTCCAAGATTTAGCTATTACAAACTGTGCCACTAGAGACAGGGGTGTGCATATATTGCTGTGGTATTGATGCTTTTAATTCTTTTGGGAAGATACCAAGAAAGGGAATAGCTGGGTCAAATGGAACCTCTAGTTTTAGTTTTTTGAGGAATCTCCACACTGATTCCACAATGGTTACACCAGTCTACACTCCCACCAACAGTGGAGAAGGGTTCCTTTTTCCCCCACATCCCTGCATTTGTTATTGATTGATTTCTTGATAGCAGCCATTCTTTCTGGAGTGAGATGGAATGGAATTTCTTTTGAAGGAGGGAGGGATCAGCATTTGTTAGTTTTTTGTTTGTTTGTTTTTGTTTTTTGCAATTAATAAATACCTTCTGATTTTAACACCTCCATTGGGTTGCTTTGAATAAAGAATTCACATTTGGCATTTGAGACCTGTTGTCCATTTCTGTTTTGTTGACTAAGACAGGGTCTCTCTCTTAGTTCAGGGTGGCCTTGAACTCTCTATGAGGCCTAGGTTGGCCTTGAACTCATGGTGATCCTCCTGCCTTAGCCTCCTGAGTGCTGAGCCATGTGCCACCATGCCCACCCATTTGTATTTTTCATACTGCCTGATAATGATAACTCACATAGTTTGATGATGATCAAAGCTAAAAAGCATTATTTCTAGTTTTAATATACTCAATTCTTTTACTGTCATACTGCCTTTGCGTTATTGTAATGGCTTATAAATTTTATAGTCTTTAGGTTGTTTTGAGGTATCCCAGAAATCACTGAGTGAGAATTTTTTTCTCTTTCCCTTGGGGTAGTATATTTTAATCTCTTCTGTTTGTCTAGCCAGTCTGCTAGATTTATTCATTAGATATGTGGCTTCCTTTTGGTGAGTCTTGTAAAATTTAATGCTGGCACATAATAGGTATTCAGTAAATGTTTATCATTATCAAGCTAAGCCCTGACACAAACCTTTGATTTATAAAATATATTTCTTCCATTTAGCAACTCAATTGCTTTTGTTCCTTGAACATAACCTTTGATGCAGTCACATCCATGGAGACTTGAGTTTTAATTTTTAATCTTTGCATATAACATTCTTAGGTAGATCCTGTGTCAGATGGCATTGATAATTAAGCCTTAGAGGGCCAGGGATTTAGCTCAGTGGTTCTGCCGCCTGCTTCACAAGCGCAAGGAACCGAGTTCGAGCTCTGGTACCAAAAAAAAAAAAAGCAAAACAAACAAAAAACCCCACCTACTTTGTAGGTTTACCATTTGATGTACCTGGTTATGGTAAGTCCATATTTCCACTTGAAGACTCATGAGATTCAGCAGAAAGGCCACTAGCTTCAAAAGGAGGCAAAGTTGGTAGGTAGTATTTTGGGACTCACAATTAGGCTCCTGAAGCCTCTGTCCCAATCCTGAAAAAAAGAGGAAGGAAGGGCACCCTAGGAAGTTGGGAACCTTGCCAATATGTAGAGGAATACCAAAGAAAACTCTTTTTAGAGCACTCATAGTTACAATTAGTTCTTACACTAGCACTGTGATAAGCAATTATAGTTTGCTAATGGAAAAGCTGAATAAAATGAAATGCAATTAATGTTTGTTAAATGTCATTAAGCACTCTACTTAGTGCTGGTCTAAGGCTCCATAGCAGACAGCTATAAACAAAATATAAATACAACATTTTGTCAAGGTAGCATTTCAGTTCCTTTTTCTAAAAATAAGTAATTTCAGAGTTAAGATTTTAATAAAGAAAATTTATATTATCTATCTATCTATCTATCTATCTATCTATCTATCTATATATCTTTTTGCAGCGCTATGGATTGAATCTAAGGCCTTGTGGGTGCTAGACAAAGCACTTTAGCACTGAGCTATATCCCCAGCCCTAAAGAAATATTTTTTAGCAGAGTTTAGAATGTAAGTATTTAAAAATATACTTGTGGGGCCGGGGATTTAGTCCAGTGGTTCCGTCGCCTGTCTTGCAAGTGCAAGGACCCGAGTTCAATCCCCGGTACCAAAAAAAAAAAAAAAAAATGTAGCATTTCATGTTGAATAATTTTTAAAGGTATAAAATGTTAGAATTAAACCAGATGTGGTGGTACACGCCTATAATCCCAACACTTGGGAGGCTGAGGCAGGAAGATCACCTGTTTGAGGCCAGTCTGGGCTACATAGTGAGTTCAAGGCCAGTCTGAACTACGTCGTGAGACCCTGTCTCCAAAAAAAAAGTCAGAATTACAAAAACAAGTAGTTTATGGTTGTGTCATTTCTGCAAATTATGATTTAGTCAGATCAAAGAAAAAGTAGAAAACTGAATTTAAATTCTTACTCTATAGTACTTTAACCAAAAGCTTGTATGTCATAGTATGAGCACTTGGTTAAAGTATTATAGAGTAAGAATTCAGGTTAATTTTTTATCTTATATTTGAAACATTAGCATAACATCTAGACAAATATGTCTTGTAGATTGTTGGAATTGGATTCTGAGTGGAAATGGTGGTGGGTGGTGGTCGAAGAAGTAGCTTTGGAAAATATCCTAAAGGTGCAGGTTGTAATGGTAGTTACAAGGATGTAGGGAGGACAGAAGTGGCTAATGAGAGAGCATTGACTGTGAAGTATCATGGATGGAAAGAAGGAAGAAAAATACTGGCAGAATTATATTATCTTACAGTAATATGATTTTACCTTAGTATAGCTCTTTATAGCTTTTAATCTAGTTAAATCCATTATCTTATTTGATACTGAAATAGTTTTTTTTGCTTAAATTCTTTTATTGGTACTTTTTAGGTATACAGTACGTTTACATTTATCATTGGTTGCTTGTACCTGTACATGATGTATCTTGGTTCTTATTTTTTCTCCATTACCTGTCCGCCCTTCACCCCCTCCACCCTTCCCTATTTACACAGACTTTGTTTCCATTTTTTTCTTTTCTCATAATTTTTCCTTTCCCTTCTTTCCTTACCCCTTCCCCTCCCACTTCCCCTACCCCTTTGGACCTTTTCTTCCTATTTCAAATTATCAATTATTCATTTTAAATGTTTTAATCATTATTTACACTTTCAGTTTTTCACACACTGAAATAGTTTTAAATAAAATAGGTGACCTCTTAGTGTAATATGTTAATTTCAGAAAAGCTATTCCTATATTTTCTTTTTCTTTCTTTTTTTTTTTTGGTACTGGGGATCAAACTCAGGACCTTGAGCTTGCGAGGAAGACGGCAGAAACACTGAGCTAAATCCCTGGCCCATATTCCTATATTTTCTAAAAACTATGATAAAAATAAAAAGTAGATGCTTTTCACTAAATTATTTTGTACTTATTTTGATACATTGTTAATATTTTGCAGAGAATAGGTATTTTGTTGAAACTAGAGCCCAAGTATTTATTTCACAGGAAAAAATCTTTAATTTGAAAGTTAGAAGGAAGATAGGGAAGGACTCTAGGTTATGTAGCTGGAGGTGTTTTTGTTGTTGTTGTTTTGTTTTGTTTTGTTTAGTTTAGCTACATCCTAGGCCTTTAAAAAAAATTTTTTTTAATTTTTAGACAAGGTCTTGCTAAATTATCTACCTGGGATTTGAACTTGCATCCTCCTCCCTCAGTCAGTCTCCCAGAGTGCTTGGATTACAGACACATTCCATCTCACCCAGCTGAGTTTGAGTACTTTAATTTTCTGTCTGGACTTCTTTGTGGGACAGTATTATTTTAAAACCATCAGTGTTACTTAAACTGGGATTTCTTTTTTTTTCTTTTTAAAGTCCAGCTGATACATTGTTACCCATAGTTTGTATTTCAAAGAGGAAAAACTTTGTATAAATAACCTAAAGGCAACCATATAGCTACTCTTTGAGGCTAGGTCATAAGCGGAGGTTGGAAAGAAGGAGAGGAGGATTCAGTGGTTTGAGAAAAGTAGTGAAAATTTGTAATAGCTTTTTTGGTGAGTATAAGCAAGTGACCAAATCAGAAGTGTAGTAGGATTTCTGAACTAAGCAAAAAATAAAGTAAATTTTCTGATAGTTAAGAAAAGCAGAAAGAAACAAGATAAATTAATTTTAGTAATACTTGTATATTGTATTTGACCCAAGAAATCCAAAAGGTTGTCATTTTAACATATATAAAATCAAAATATCTATTAAGTAGCATACTTCAAAAGTAATTAAAATAAATTTTGAGCTGCATAGACATTGTCATTACGGGAATATTTTAATAATTTTTTCTAGCAATTCTTAGGGGAAGGCAGTTTATTTGATAGTCCTGACTTGATGGACTCAAAGGGAATGTGAATTAGAAAAGATGAGGTCCAGTTAAAAGGAGTTTGATTGCAAAAGAGGAGATGGTGCCAAGACTAAATTTAAAAAGAAATACTATCAGGGCCGGGGATTTAGCTCAGTGGTGCCGCCTCCTGCCTCGCAAGCGGAAGGTTCCGAGTTCATTGCCGGGTACCAAAAAAAAAGAAAAAAAACTAATTGGAAGCCCACTTGTTATAACCAGAATGTGAAGACTAGAAGAGCCTAGAAGAAAATAATATAGTTTGTGAGATAATCTAATAAGTTAGAAATTTTAGTAGTACATGTTGTGGTATAAAGTTTAAAAGATGAAAAGATTATAGAGCAAAAACAAAGCTCTTAGGGCCAGGGATTTAGCTCAGTGGCACCTCCCCTGCCTAATAAGTGCAAGGTCCTGAGTACGGGTGGGGGTGTGGGGGAATAAAGCTCTTGGCTCTTGTCTTCCAGCTACCTGACTGCCCTCTTTAGAGGGAACCAGAATATTTAATTTCCCATGTATCATTCAAGAAATAGCCGGCCGGGGGTTTAGCTCAGTGTTTCCGCTGCCTGCCTCACAAACACAAGGTCCCGAGTTCGATCCTGGTACCACACAAAAAAAAGAAATAGCCTATGTGCTGGGTGTGGTGGCACGTGCCTGTAACCCCAGCCCACAGGAGACAGAGGTAGGAGAATCGCTGTTTGAAGCCAAGCTAGTCTACATAGTGAGTTCAAGGGCAGCCGGGACTACATAGTGAGATCTTGTCTAAAAAAAAAAAAGCCTATGCATATT